ACGAATTAGGCCAGGCCAGGTTATACCAGGGGACGCAGAAGTCACCGAAAGTTTTTTTTTGGTTCGCTTCTTTCTGGTAATTAGATAAACAGCTTGGTTTTTTTTAAACGTGTTTTTTATTTAAAAAAAAATGGATGTTTACGAAATATGAATTATTCATATTATTGAAATGGTGAAAAAAAAACAGGTTAAATTTTTTTTTTTTTTTCGCTGACTGGGCTTCACGTAACACCTTTCTATTTTAATAGATGAAATCGCTTAATAAAAAAAAACGAGTCGTTAGTTATATAACTTAGATCTAGGTGATGTGGAGTATTATAGAATTATAATTAGTCAGTCTCTGGTTGTAAAAAAAAATAAGCATGGACACGTGAGGAAATGTTGTCAACGTTTCATCTCTTTGGGAATACATAATTTGAAAAAAAAAATCAGCTTCTCAAAAAAAAATGTTGAGGTCCATGAATATTAGTTTTAATTTTAAATTTCAATGAAAATGTTACAATTACGCTTATTTACCCCCCCCCCCCCCCATTTACCATACCTTAAAAATAAATAAAAACGAGCGATAATTTTAAGAATGTTTCCCAGATATCATATAACACACATCCCCAACTTGCAGCTGATGGTGATATCAACACACATCTTACATTCATGCTGTGTTGAAATACCCCCAATCAACATACATCTTACATACATGCTATGTTGAAATACCCCCGATCAAGACACATCTTACATACATGCTGTGTTGAAATACCCCCGATCAAGACACATCTTACATTCATGCTATGTTGAAATACCCCAGATCACATAAATGCTGTGTCGAAATACCCCCGATCAACACACATCTTACATACATGCTGTGTTGAAATACCTCAGATCACATATATGCTGTGTTGAAATACCCCCGATCAACATAACTTCTATCATAAATGATGTGTTGAAATACTCCCGATCAACATACATCTTACATACATGCAGTGTTGAAATACTCCGCCAGTAATCAATGACCAAATGTTTTCAATTCCATTGAAATCGCCCCTCGAGTAATCAATGTCCAAATATTTCCTTTCCCAACTGCCGATATGTCGTGACCGTCTCCTTTTGTCTGATGTGGTTTTCACAATTGGGAAACCCACGACAGAGTTCGTGGTTGGAAACATCAGTTCGTTCTATTTTTAGATTCTCTCAAGGTTTTTGTGAAGAAGATAACCCCATTGATTAAGGGACGTAATCGCATTTAATTGATTTTTAATTTGCTTTCAAATCAATCAAAATAACAACGCATTAAATAGCCTTGAGAGTACTGTTCCTATAGTCTCGTCTGTAGAGTGTATTCGAGAGATCTGGATCACGTTTGATCAATGTGACTATAGGTAGTGGTAGCAATACTCACGTCTTATAGCGTCGTCTGTAGAGTGTATTCGCGAGATCTGGATCACGTTTGATCAACGTGTCTATAGGTAGTGGTAGCAATACTCACGTCTTATAGCGTCGTCTGTTGGGTGTATTTGTGAGATCTGGATCACGTTTGATCAATGTGACTATAGGTAGTGGTAGCAATACTCACGTCTTATAGCGTCGTCTGTAAGGTGTATTCGAGAGATCTGGATCACGTTTGATCAACGTGACCATAGGTTGTGGTAGCAATACTCACGTCTTATAGTGTCGTCTGTTGGGTGTATTTGTGAGATTTGGATCACGTTTGATCAACGTGACTATAGGTAGTGGTAGCAATACTCACGTCTTATAGCGTCGTCTGTAGGGTGTATTCAAGAGATCTGAATCACGTTTGATCAATGTGACTATAGGTAGTGGTAGCAATACTCACGTCTTATAGCGTCGTCTGTAGGGTGTATTCGAGAGATCGGGATCGCGTTTGATCAACGTGACTATAGGTAGTGGTAGCAATACTCACGTCTTATAGTGTCGTCTGTTGGGTGTATTTGTGAGATTTGGATCACGTTTGATCAACGTGACTATAGGTAGTGGTAGCAATACTCACGTCTTATAGTGTCGTCTGTTGGGTGTATTTGTGAGATCTGGATCACGTTTAATCAACGTGACTATAGGTAGTGGTAGCAATACTCACGTCTTATAGTGTCGTCTGTTGGGTGTATTTGTGAGATTTGGATCACGTTTGATCAACGTGACTATAGGTAGTGGTAGCAATACTCACGTCTTATAGCGTCGTCTGTAGGGTGTATTCAAGAGATCTGGATCACGTTTGATCAATGTGACTATAGGTAGTGGTAGCAATACTCACGTCTTATAGTGTCGTCTGTTGGGTGTATTTGTGAGATTTGGATCACGTTTGATCAACGTGACTATAGGTAGTGGTAGCAATACTCACGTCTTATAGCGTCGTCTGTAGGGTGTATTCGAGAGATCTGGATCACGTTTGATCAACGTGACCATAGGTAGTGGTAGCAATACTCACGTCTTATAGCGTCGTCTGTAGGGTGTATTCGAGAGATCTGGATCACGTTTGATCAACGTGACCATAGGTAGTGGTAGTAATACTCACGTCTTATAGCGTCGTCTGTAGGGTGTATTCGAGAGATCTGGATCACGTTTGATCAACGTGACCATAGGTAGTGGTAGCAATACTCACGTCTTATAGCGTCGTCTGTTGGGTGTATTTGTGAGATCTGGATCACGTTTGATCAACGTGACCATAGGTAGTGGTAGCAATACTCACGTCTTATAGCGTCGTCTGTAGGGTGTATTCGAGAGATCTGGATCACGTTTGATCAACGTGACTATAGGTAGTGGTAGCAATACTCACGTCTTATAGCGTCGTCTGTAGGGTGTATTCGAGAGATCTGGATCACGTTTGATCAACGTGACCATAGGTAGTGGTAGCAATACTCACGTCTTATAGCGTCGTCTGTTGGGTGTATTTGTGAGATCTGGATCACGTTTGATCAACGTGACCATAGGTAGTGGTAGCAATACTCACGTCTTATAGCGTCGTCTGTAGGGTGTATTCGAGAGATCTGGATCACGTTTGATCAACGTGACTATAGGTAGTGGTAGCAATACTCACGTCTTATAGCGTCGTCTGTAGGGTGTATTCGAGAGATCTGGATCACGTTTGATCAACGTGACTATAGGTAGTGGTAGCAATACTCACGTCTTATAGCGTCGTCTGTAGGGTGTATTCGAGAGATCTGGATCACGTTTGATCAACGTGACTATAGGTAGTGGTAGCAATACTCACGTCTTATAGCGTCGTCTGTAGGGTGTATTCGAGAGATCTGGATCACGTTTGATCAACGTGACTATAGGTAGTGGTAGCAATACTCACGTCTTATAGCGTCGTCTGTAGGGTGTATTCGAGAGATCTGGATCACGTTTGATCAACGTGACCATAGGTAGTGGTAGCAATACTCACGTCTTATAGTGTCGTCTGTAGAGTGTTATCGGGAGATCGGGATCACGTTTGATCAACGTGACTATAGGTAGTGGTAGCAATACTCACGTCTTATAGTGTCGTCTGTAGAGTGTATTCGCGAGATCTGGATCACGTTTGATCAATGTGACTATAGGTAGCGGGTAGCAACACTCACGTTGTGCGTACAAGTATTGACCATTGGTGCAGACATTAATTATGCTTGTAAACAATATTGACACTCTATGTACATATACTATCTGTACACAACATTGACAATGTATGTACATATACTATCTGTATTAGTACACAAAGAGACTAGTGTACATAAACTAACCACGTGTACACACACTGACCACGTGTACACACACTGACCACGTGTACACACACTGACCAGCACTGACCAGTTGTACACACACTGACCAGCACCAATCTTGTATACACACACTGACCACGTGTAGACACACCAACCACACGTACACACACTGACCATCACCAACCACGTGTACAAAAACTGACAACGTGTGTACAACCACTGAACGAGCAGCGTGACTGACTGCTCACACCGGGGGACCCACGTGACCAGGGACGTGCCCTGGACGCCGTGGGGGAGATGAGCAGTGACGTCACGGCTCACACGGCAGGAGCGCGCGGCCTCTCGGCTGTCATCTGACCCGTCCTTGACATCTTCATCATCTTTGTTGTCGACTTATCGGATTAGCCAAGGGGGGGGGGGGGGGAGGTTGTATATGGGAAATCGTAGAAAATAAGAGGCGGAGTGGGGGGAGGAGAGGGGGAGTTTACCGTATTCGGCACGTACCCAATTTTTTTTTAAACTTCGTATGCTGGCTGTTTTCTTTGAAATTGAATTAATGGCAATTTAATTGGTTTAGACGTTTGAAATTGATGTGGAGACTTGATTCGTACAGAGGACTTCAAGCTTTAGCCTGCACGTGTAGTGTGGAAGCAAAATCTAAACTTAAACATTTTACCTTGGGCGATAATGTGGAGGGCTTAAGCCTTAAGGATATGTACACGTTGTAGTCAAATTATAGTTTTTCTGGAAGGGGAGGGATCAAAGTTGCAAATTTTTAAAATTATATATAGGCCTATATATATATATATATATATATATATATATATATATATATATATATATATATATATATATATATATATATATATATATATATATATATATATACATATGAGTTCCCCTTCCAAACTTAAGGTCTATGGGCAAGCGAAGTAGATTTCACCTGTTTCTTGACATAAAGGGATAGTTTGGTCAGAGACAACTCGTATGCAGTGATAATGATAAATTATAAGCATGCATTAAATAGTGAATTATTTTTAAAAGCGTACAGACCGTTTTTATTTTAACAAGTTATTCAAAAGGTAGTTACAATATGAATACAATAGTATTAATAGTCTAGGCCTAGCGGTTTCTTAATTAGATTTTAATATGTAGTAAAAAAAATTATAACTGTTGCATTTTGGGTACTCTTGTTTTTTTTTTTTTAAATTTAAAGCAAGGCCTATAAACACATAGCCGCAATGTTTTTATTTTGTTTTCAATATTTGAACAGTGGACTTAATTTATACATCTCCTTGACAAACGAAATTTTGAATTTTAAGTGAGAGAGACCGAGACATGCAACCGTATTGCATAAAGAAAGAAGTTGGAGACGATTGTGAAGTAAATAAAAGATTGAATATTCTCAATGCATCAAATGTATTTTTTATTTAACATTTCTGTTGATATTCATCTGTATGTATGAATTGAAGCTTGGTCTGAAACGAAAGAAAAAATGCACTAAAAAATAAAAACATTTTCATTAGTTAAATGCTAATGTGTCGAAATAGTGTCAACATTTCTTTTTTTTTGTTTACAATTTTTAAGACTGTACCTATTTGATTTTCGTATGTTAACGGATGTTTGCATTATGGAAGTATTGGAATGATTGAGCTTCACTAAACTTTCTCTAGTATGCGTGTATATATATATATAGATTGTATGCGTCACTGTGATAGTGTAACCAGTGGATGCGTCACTGTGGTAGTGTAAAGATTGTATGCGTCACTGTGATAGTGTAACCAGTGGATGCGTCACTGTGGTAGTGTAACCAGTGGATGCGTCACTGCGGTAGTGTAACCAGTGGATGCGTCACTATGGTAGTGTAATGAGTGGATGCGTCACTATGGTAGTGTAATGAGTGGATGCGTCACTGTGGTAGTGTAAAGATTGTATGCGTCACTATGGTAGTGTAACCAGTGGATGCGTCACTGTGGTAGTGTAACCAGTGGATGCGTCACTGTGGTAGTGTAACCAGTGGATGCGTCACTGTGGTAGTGTAAAGATTGTATGCGTCACTATGGTAGTGTAACCAGTGGATGCGTCACTGTGGTAGAGAAACTAGAGGCTCCGATAGTGCCCCCATGACACCTAAACGGTCAACGGTGTGTGTATAAACTCATTATAAATAAAATAGATTTAACCTTAGCTTCTAGTGGACAAAGCCGCGCCCCACCGACTAAAATCCAAGAAGCATAGCGAATGCTTTGTTTACATTCAAATAACTCTGTTTTAGAAAACAAGGTCACGCGTCTAAAAAATACACGATTGGTAATGCATTTATGGAATCATCTTAAAAATATTGCGTCAACCCGCAGCAACGCAGGCGACAGGTATGCTAGTTTCTATTAATAAATCGGAAGATTAAAAAAAAAACGCACATGTTACTTAGATCTAGTCTATCCTCGTTTTAAGCAGTATTTCTGATGGGTTCCAGTTCTTTTTATTCTGAAAAAAAAAATAAGTTTCATTACGCAAACAGACATTGCGAACTAAATACAAGCTTGTAATAAAACAAATTTAACAACAAAACAAATATAATAAACCTTTATAGCAACAAGCTTTTAAATGGCACTGAAAGTAAAAATAATAAAATAAATCTGCTTTCTCTTAAACGCTTTTGTCACTAAAATATGTAAAAGATCTTTTTTTATATAAAAGATTTTTAGATTTGTTTGATTACTAGCTTTTATTTAGTTCGCAACGTCTGTTTGTAGGTTTGTGGCAAATCTTGTAACTTAATTTTGACTCATTTCTAATGCAGCGATTTTGTTCAAACTTTCCAGATACGCTTCACTTCGATGACAATACAAGTCTATCTATTGTTTAATTTAATTGGATGTTCAATAATTAATTAAAAATTAATTAAACAGTTTAGAAACTAATTGGAGATAACAGAAAAATTAAACACTCGATAGATTATTATACTATATTCAATAACAGCAGGGGAGATAACTAGATAGACGCTATCACCCGACCAGTCTTGTGAGCTGTGGGTTTTTATTAGACATTTTAACTTTAATTATTACAAAACGTTTGCTATATTCTTAAAATTCTAAAATGTGATGTTGAGGGGTTCAATATAGACTGTGCTAGGTGCGTTTTCAACAATTAAAAAAAGCTCTATGATTCGCTTCAGTGGTCACATAAGTTTTTGTCGCCTGTTATGATTTGTTAGTTTTATGAAATACTGTACCGTACCGTACTGTGCCGTTTCGTGCTGTACCGTACCTTACTGTGCTGTACCGTACCTTACTGTGCTGTACCGTGCCCTGTCATAACGTGACATGCCGTGCAGTGCCGTACCGAGCTGAGGTGAACTCAAATGACCTGACCCGACCCAACCTGACCTGACCAGAACCGACATGACCTGACCTGACCTGACCCGACCTGACCTGACCCGGCCTGACCTGAATTGACATGACGCGACCTGACCTGACCTGACCTGACCTGACCTGACCTGACCTGACCCGGCCTGACCCGGCCTGACCCGGCCTGACCTGAATTGACATGACGTGACCTGACCTAACCTGACCTGACCCGACCTGACCTGACCCGGCCTGACCTGAATTGACATGACGCGACCTGACCTGACCTGACCTGACCTGACCCGACCTGACCTGACCTGACCTGACCTAACCTGACCTGACCTAACCTGACCTGACCTGACCTGATCTAACCTGACCTGACCTGACCTGACCTAGCACAAGCTGTGATATATGCAGAGCATATATTTTAAACGTACTCACTTGCATACTTTTTTGTTTGACCCACAGTCACTGTCACTGTTGCATGTTTGATATACTTTTGGGGGCCCACTGAGGTGACCGCTGTAAATATGTTTTTAAAAATTAATAAAACATTTCTTTAGGCGTACTGATTCTTGTTGTGGGTATATTTTTCCTTTTGCCCATACAAACTGTTTGATAAGGTGTTTTTTATACTTTAAAATAAGTTGCCTTTTAAAAATTTTCATTAATTTTAGTTTGCGTTCACAAGTTAAAAACATCACGAGCAGTTGCTTGAATCCATTAAAAAAAAATCAACCGGGAGTGATCGCCCCTAAATTTTCTCGAATATTCTTACATAACACTACGGGTGATGGCAACTCGGGATTTGTAGATCTGTATCAACTTTTCAGCGATCTCCGGTAACCGGAAGTGGAACTTATTCTACTTTCAATTTTTCAAAATTCTATAGCTTGAGTACTTTTTCAGATAGATAAATAAAATTTCACACGTAAGTAAAAGATTTAGTTCTCTGCCTTCTATCGAATTTTGAGTTATTTCCGTTGACCGGAAGTAGTAATTTAACGCAATTTCCAATTTATAAAAAAAACCGCATATAAATTTATAAAGTACTAATAATATTCCGAACTATTATACACAGATTGTTTGGCGTTTACTTGGTGCGAATTTCTTTTTTCTACGAGATTCTAATTATATTCTATTTTTAAAAGTTTAAGTGATTAAAGATGGATTATAAATCATGTCTATATCCAGAGTTGCCATTCCCTGTAGTGTTATATAAGAGTATTCGAGAAAGTTTAGGGGAGATCACTACCGGTTTATTTTTTAAAAATATTCCAGCAACACCACATTGAATATATACGTTATAAACTTTTTTTATTCATAATCTAGGCCCATGGTTAAGATAACTTCCATTGATAGTCAAGTTCATTTGCAATTAAACATACAAATTCTGTTTTCATAGAATTACCTTGACACGAAGCCAACGAAGACCAGTAGTAACAAGAAGCTCACACATAATTTCATTTCAAATTTGTAACAAACGGCTGTATTAAAATATATATATATATATATATATATATATATATATATATATATATATATATATATATATATATATATATATATATATATATATATATATATACACATGAAAGTATGCGCGTGTGTGTTTAAGTGTGTGTGTCTTTTGTGCATTACTACACCTTTCATCTGATCGCCATGACCATTTAGAAAGGTGTTGATGATGCTACTCCTGGAAGGGTTTCCTCAATTTTTAAAAAATCACGCAAGCGTGGCGCCCCGAGAGGGTGTGCCTTTTCTCTATATTATGTATAAATATAAGGTAGGGTGCTGGTCATACTATTCCTTATATGTCGAAGCTATTGAAACAGGGGAATTCGACTATGTTATAATATGTTTATTAACGTTAGTGAATATGGATAAGTTTAGGCATTTTGGTTTAACTTTAAAGACAGATTAGACTATATTATTGTAACTAGTTTTTTTTTCTTTTTGTAAAACGTGTCTTTGTCAGTCGAATGATCAATACACGTACACAAGAATACTTCTGTGTACGCTACCTTTCTACATTGAAAATTGTCTGATAACTTTAAAGTATAATTACTTACTGCGATTAGAGAGCTTCTAAAATAAACTGTGATGGTGAGATGGCACAAGCACACGGAGTCTAATCATAGACAGGCTGTCACACTGATACCTAATTAAGCATTGAAGATTAAAGCTATATTAAAACCTGAGGCGACCAGTAAATATTGATTCCATTATTTTCGACCCAGTAGCGTCGCTAGGTCGGGTGTCACCTGGTTAGTCTGTGTTACTTTGAGTGTGTTTGCGTAGGCCTTCATAGGCCTATAATTTAAATATATGGCATATACACGTGTATGTATGTGCATAATAATGTGTATAATTTGCTATCGTTTTTTTTTAATCCATAGGATTAAAAAAAATGTTCTTACCACACATTCCATGGAGGTGGAGGCACTTGCTATTTTGGGGGAGGGGCGAGGCAAACACTGATGAAAACGGACACTGGTAAAAGTATATTATATATTTTCTATTTAAATTCTATTTCGTTGGGGGGGGGGGGGGGGTAAACTGTCTTCGGGTGGGGGTGCCCCCTCCCCCCTCCCGCCCCCCAAGAGGTGCCTGAAAGAAATTCTGCTGCACACATTCTTTAATTAGTAGAGCGATATCTTAAAACCAAATTTAATTAGAGAGATCGCACTTGTAGCCTACTTTTTCGAGTTGATTTTTCCATACCCTACAAGTAAGCACGTGATAAAAATTACTCGAAAATATAATCAAACTGATCGATGACATCAAAACAGGCTGCCAATTTGTTTAGATAATTATTTTCAAATTACATCTTTTAATTAATACCTGAATCTTCTGTGTGAGTTTCTCAAACAGCGTGGGTTCACAATGCCACCATAGAGTCGGCTACAGAGATTTGAATTCTATTAAATTCTATTAAATAGTATTACACACGTAATCAAAACTTTGTGTCAAACAACTGAAGCCAAAACCTCTTTCTATTCAGAGCTCCTTTTAGTAGACACTTAACTCCGCGAGGGGGTGGGGGGACGGGGGGTAGGGGGATGACTCTTGAAACTTATGGGGTGGGGGGGGGGGGCTATTAATTTTCCGGGAGCAGACACTGACATATTTTCTGCATACATCTATTTAATTCGGGTGAGGGGTAGACTTCATTCTGGTGGGGGAGGAGGGGGTGGGAGAAGGGGGTGGTGCCTCAAACACCCCCCTCCCCCAACCCAGAAGAGATGACTTTTTTTTCCCATTCACATCACAATCATCATTGATTATCGATTTGCCTGCAACAGGTAAGAAACTAAAGTTGGTTGTTTACAGGCACCGGTTTATTCGGTGAAGCCGCTATCTCTCATGTATAGTGTGAAGCCGCTATCTCACATGTATAGAGGACTTCATCTCGGTTCGAATACATCTTTTTTTTTTAAATTCTTCAATGACGATTTTCATTGGTTGGTACAGTTGGTCAAGCAGGTAAGGCGTCCAATCACGTGTCGTGTTTTCACGCCTGCTACTGCCATAGCTGCTCACGCTGGTATCACGTGATCAACCTTGAAATGTGTGGAGCAGACGACAGATTAGTTGTCAAACTTTTAGAAGAAAAAAACATGTGGGGGGGGGGGGGGGGGGGAGGGGAGGAAGTGTAATCAGCTGATTTGAAACAGACAGAACATTCTAATCTGGTTTTTTTTAAATTCCGTTTTTAAAAGATAATCACGGCGCAATCCGATTAGTGGGTTTTCAAATGCCATAGATTTTTTTTTATAAGATTCACGTGCTTGTGTGTGTATGTGTGAGTGCTTTCATGTGAGTGTGTTTTTGGTGCCAATGTAATTTATTGTGTGTATGTGTGTAGGCTATATGATTGAGCGTATGGTGTTTAAGATACGGTGAGTATAGGCGTATACGAATAATTGTATGTACGTATTGTATCTATGTGTGAATTACATACGCATACATAGTGTGTATGTATGCGTACATTGAGTGTTTTTGTGTGTATAATATTGATTGTGTATATATGCATGTATGTATGTGTGTATGTAAGTACTCGTGTCTTCGTGTATGTGTTTTTTCATCTGTAAAAGAATGATTGTGTATGTGTTATGTTTGTATGTGTGTATGTGTGTATATAAAGTAATTGTGTGTAGATGAAGGTGTTTTCTTGTGTAAAAGGTTGATAGTGTGTGTATGTATGTATGTTGTATATTGTATGTAAGTAGTTGTGAGTGTACGTGTGTATGAGTGTGTGAGTACTCGTTACGTGTGTTTACTCACGTGCCCGCACCAACTAACACCGAGTTCAGAATTTGATTTTTTTTTAAATACTCACTTCACGTGCGCGTTAAATTAATCCCCATGAACATCAAAGAGAATGTTCAATTAGATTTGAAAATAAAAACCTTCAATTTGTTTCCTTTCCTGTGATTTAAAATAAAATAATACAGTTTTTATTTCTTAATACTTTGTTGTGGTTTCACATTATAGTGGGCGAGGTATTTTTAAGGGTTACCGGATACAGATATTACTACGTAATTTAGATATTTATATTTGATATATTAAACTATTTAGCGTGGCTTAGCGGTAGAAAACTAGACTGATAACTCGGGAGTCTTGAGTTCGAATCCGGTTTCAAATCAGTGGAACGTCCCTGAGTCCACTCAGCTCTGATAAGTACCTAACATACGTTAGTGAAACAAAGTTCGGCTCGGCATAGTGCTGACCACACTATTCCTTCATATACCGAGGTCACTGAAACAGATGAACTCTTCTTCATCTGCCCCATGTGTCTTGGGCACGAACGGGAAATGATTATGATGATTAGAAAAAAAACTAACAATTAGATCATAAATTTTCTAACTAATCTAAGACGTTACCTGGCTTCAGTTGATAGAGTTTAGTTTTCGTTATTCTCCAGCCGAGAGAACTCAATCACCCGATCCTCGTCACATGAATCGATTGGTGCTGGTCACTTAGTTTTAGACATAATAGCTAACCACTACAGGTGGGAGGATCTATGGGAGCAGAGGAAGTAGAGTTTACTTCTTTCAAAGATAATGGTATATACATAAATTATTTGACCACCCCGATCTAATTTGTTTTCTTTCTTCTTTATTTTCTAAACAAAATTATTTTTTTTTAAATTGAATAATGAAAGAAAAATAACAAAAAACTTTATGTTTCCTTTCATCATCTAAGACGTTTTTTTTTTTTTTTTAAATTTTATTTTTCTTAAACAACTTGTTTATATGGATATCGAATAAGGGGTAATTATAATTTAGAATTTTGTTGTTTGCGTGCGCATCGACATAGGAGGGTATTTTTTTTATTGAACTCGCTATAAGTCTCAAATATCAGAACAACACATAGGGTGATCACATGACTCCCGTAGTCACACGTGGCATAGCGGATTAGTTCCAAACATGTTATTGGTTTTGCGTCAATGACAATTTAAAAAAAAATAGTTCCGTTGTTTTGCCGGGTGTTGTTTTATACCTCACCCATAGAACGTACGTGTGATGACGTCTTTGGTGACATGGTCACATATCCAGTGACCTGTGGATTAGGCCGGTTCGTGCGTCACTGGTCACATGATCTTCACCATTTTAGTCATTAGACATCTTGACTGCACACTTGCAAATACAAGATGTCTTAATTAAATAATCGTACTCAAGAGGATATTAATTAATTTAATTAGTATAATTACGTTTATTATCTACGCAATAGGCCTACTTACTTATGAAACTTAGCTATCATTTTATATATCAATAAAAGCTTTACATACATAAGGCCTACAATTTATTATATATATACGTTTATATATAAATATATACATATACCAATATCAATATATACTTATATATATAACAAAATATAAATATATATATATATATGCATTTATTATCTACATATATATAGGCATATAATATATATATATATATATATATATATATATATATATATATATATATATATATATATATATATATATACATATATATATATATATATATATATATATATATATACGTATATGTAAAAGAGAAGTGTTCTCCAATACAGTTTTAGCCTCGATCCTTAGAAAGTAGATTTTGATTTTTATCTTCTCCTCCCACCCCTCAAGCCACCGCTGTGATTTGACCACTTTCGCTGACCGCTGTCTGCCCAGCTGATTTATCCCCCGGGTCAATCGATGTGTGCCATCTTGTCGGATTGTCTGGTCCCGGGTGTCAGGTGCTACTGGCCTGGGTCGGCTAATTAAGGCGCGTGGACCCACGTGACCCGGAATTACGAGCTTCACCATTGGGATCGTGTGCACCGGAACTGGAAGCTTCAATGGGTGATTGTAAGAAATGTTACAGGCGGTTTTAGGATACAATCTTTCTGAGATGGCTGGTCAAATATGAATACCGCAGAGGAAGGTAGATCGAAGAAGTCTATTGATATATATATATATATATATATATATATATATATATATATATATATATATATATATATATATATATATACATATACATATATATATATATATATATATATATATATATATATATGTATATGTATATATATATACATATATATATATATATATATATATATATATATATATATATATATATATATATATATATATATATATATATATATATATATATATATATATACATAAATGAAGATTTTTGGCTGATAATTATATCATTAACCGGAGAAATTAGTCAAGAATAAAATATTGCTTATCATTTTACTCATATATAATTTAGAGAAAGCAATATTTATGACAATAAAATTTCCTTTGATCATTTACCAAAGTAAATTCGGACAACAAATGATCATACCATACTGTAATAATTTTTCATGTTCTTTCCAAATCTCAGAGGGGATCGAACTTGTTTTTCTCTACCAGCATTCAGCCCTTGAAAATGTTTACACTTCGCGCCTTCCCATCGCCATCTTGTTTGTTGATCCCTTGAACTTAACGCATGGTAATTTAAAAAAAAAAACCCAGCCATTACATCAAATTACAATAACATTACATTAGATGGAGAAATAAAGTGAGTGCACACTGCTCAACAAAGAAAACAAGCAATTTGTCTAGTGATTAACATGATTGCATCGATGGCCATATAAGCTTTTGACC